CTAAGCACGAAAGAAGCGTAAGAGTCGCACGAGGCGATAGCCGAGTGCGACTCTAGCTTCTTGAGTGCTTAGCAAACCTCTCAAGTGCATCCATAACTCAATAGTACACGCTATGGCGTTCACCATTTGCTAATTATAACATAACCAAAGTAAAGCGCGCGCTCTGATTGGTCAATTTAGCGTCCCCCATTTGCCCATGGGTGTACGCTGCTGACGTGAGCAAATGCAAAGACTATTTTTCCGCGCGCGCTTGTTTTTTCTGGTCGCGTAAGATTTGTTAAATAAAAGGGAACTCTTTAGCTACAATGTATCAATGTTATGTTATAAAACAAATGGTAAACACCACAGCGTACACTATTGAGTTATGGATGCACTTGGGAGGTTTGCTAAGCACTCAAGAAGCTAGAGTCGCTCTCGGCTATCGCCTCGCGCGACTCTTACGCTTCTTTCGTGCTTAGCAACCTTCCGCGTGCATCCATAACTCAATAGTGTACGCTGTGGCGTTTACCATTTGTTAATGATCAAAATTTGATTCATTTTTAAGCTAATAAGAAATAACTGAATAAATGAAGGCGAATGTGCTCAAGGGCATTAGAAAATGGAGTAATCACAGTACCTCACATTTAAGCAACATAACCAAATGAAATACTGTAACAAGAAGTAAGAAGTTATGGCAACGAGTGTTGGTATTTGAGTTTAGACACTGATTTTGTAGTAAAACTAATTTAGACAAAAACACTTTTTTTGACAGTGTTACCTGAACAGAAGCAGGATAAAGATCTAAAGGTATTCTGAAAAAATCAAACAAATCTTGATCAGTATTATGCCAGACCCATTGTAGTCAAAGTGTAGTAATCCAAAAAAATTTTCAAAATCCTGTAGCAACCTGTGAACTATGGTCCATAATCACTTACCTTTGTAAATGTTCTTTCACCGGAGCAAAAATCTCAAAACTTGCGGGTAAGTCCTGATACAAATCCACAAATTTTTGCAAAACGGACAAGCAATGGTGTACTGAGTTAACCCTATAAAAAGAAAAAAAAAAACACTTCATAATTACTCTAACAGCCTGACAGCTAAGCGTAGATATTCCAAAGTAACCTCTGCCCCATTTGGTCGCTGATAAAGAACTGCTGGAACAACGATTTTGTCGCAAGCCTCTTTCTTCCTTTTTCTTATTTCAGAATTTTCAACAGAGAAGTAAGAACACAAAAATACGCGGGTGTCTCAAAACGGAGATAACTAACTTGACAAAAATTACTTGAGAAGTTTAAGGGTGGGCAGGAGTAACGGTTTCTAAGGTGATTCGGCTTTTTTTCTCGTGACTTTCGAGCTCTTGTCTTAAAATTGGCAAAGTGGTGGTCGCTTATTGTTGTAATAACATTTGAAAAAATTGGATACTTTGATAATCAGTCAGTCAGTCGGTGCTGAATGTTGGGGCTAAAAGTATACCAAAAGCACGGACGTCCGGGGACTTCTCAGGAAATCACTATAGTATGGACCTGCTTAATAGAGGTTGTCCATCTGAAAGAAGTAACTCTCTCACGAAAAAGGATGGGGAGCTAGGGTGCAGAAAAAGGTTAAGTAAACTGTCCTTTGCGAATTCAGAGACGATATAACGGTTGAGTTTTTCTTTTTTGTTTCACATTACTCATAGTTTAAAACAAAACGCTATCTTTGCGTAACTGTACCAGATGTCAGCGTTAGCTGGTTACCCCATGTAACAAAAAAAAACACTCTTCAAGAATAGCCATGGATCCAGCTGATTTAGAATTCTTGACAGTTTTTAAGCCCTTACTTTACCTTGTTTCGTCCGTCGTCTTTTCATCTGCAGTACTTTCTCCGAGAGTGGTCAGCGGTAAGGGTTTGACGGTCAAAAAACTAAAACCGTTCGGTGAAAACTGACTATTAGCCGGTGAATCAATGATCCCTTAGCGTCAAGGGGCGGGAATCATGACAGGAGAGTGTCTGATAAACATAAAATGTCTTCACTGCTACTGGATGAGTCTTTCACAATAAAGGGAGATAGTTTGAAACATTTGTGAACGTTTAGTAAGGTCGTCTTTGTTCGTTTGTTTGTTTGTTTGTTTGTTTGTTTGTTTGTCCATTTGAGTAAATGGGGTAAGTTTCTTCAGAACTGTAGTGCTGCGTCGGTGAGCAGCATGATAAGATCGTTTGGTTTTATCAACTGAGTTGATAATGTAAATTGGTCAACGTAAAGAGTTTATAAGCTGACGAACGGTTAAAGCTCGAAACGTAAGCTTTAGGAACTATCCATGGTATCCAATTTACAATTTACAATTTACAACTCAGTTGATAAAACCAAATGATCATCATCATAACCATCATCATCTTTATTTGCCTTAATTAAGAATAAAAAGATTTATTTACAGCGATAACAGCTAGAAGGTGAGGAGACATAAAAAGCCACCGGGATTATGGGAGAGCCACCTCACAATCAAATCTCACTTACAATAAAAAAAATCAAGTAATTAAATCAAATTATCATGTTTGTTGGTCTGCTTTTTTTTTTTTTTCGCCAAAGACCAGTATCATCTTTTGAAGGGTTTTAGTAGGTTATTTATGGATACTTTCTGTTCAATGCAACATAGCAGTAATCTCAATTGACTGTGGGTTGTCTGACATATTATGAGCCTTCCTACTCACCTTGAATCTGACTGTAGTTTGAGAAGGTCGCGCCATTTGCTACAGTGTTTGAATGGGAGAACAAGCTGAGCTATGAAAATGGAAAGATGAGATCATTTAAATGGTCTCTAAAGGAGGCGTAAAAAGAAATAGGAGGGGAAAAGGAGGAACGAAAGATAGAGGAATAAGAATTGAGGTGGAAAACGGAGATGGAGGTAAGAAATGATGGGCTAAGAAGCCAACGACACACGGGAAAAAGACAAATGCGAGGATACTGCAAAATGACAACCACGACATCGACTCGTCCCCAATCGTCTTCATAGCGCGGACATCAAGGGAGCGCAAGGTGTGACGGGCCCTATCACCACTTTCTCACCCACTACACCCCAGTGCTATGCGCGTTATGAAGACGCGTAATGACGAGTCAAGTAGCAACAAAACCTAACTAACGCATTTCCCACGGGAAAGTTCTACCACTGAAAAACATGATGAATTGGCCGACACTTACGGGTAGGGCCTTCCTTCTTGGAAGCCATAAAGAGAATTCCACAGAGGAAGTTGACAACCTCAGGAACGAATCGCTTTGATAGAGATACGAACTGCAAAGAACATAAACACCAAGAGTATTAATAGTTTTTCAATCTGATATTCAGTAGTCATGGTAAAGTACGGTTATTTAGGTGGAGGAAAGTAAATATAAACCTTACTATTAAAGTCATCTGTGCTCGCAAGTAAAGTAATTCAAGGATAGTACTCTTCTTTAAACAGAAAATTAAAAACAATAGAGAAAAAAAATTAACATTTTAACCCCTAGGAGTGATCGGCATTTTATTTCTCCTTACCGTCAGTATATACGTGTAGAATCAAATATTAAGGCCATGAGAATTAGGCAAATGACCACCCACCAGAGAAGCTCATAATTGTTGAACAGATTCTCCATGTCAGTATTATGGGAAATGTCTAAAATTTGGAGAATGCGCTTACCGGCCTTAAGGTGTTAAAAGTCAAACAGGTAAACTAAAATAAGAAAGCAAACCTCATGAAACAAGTCGCAGACAAAAAGACCCCTGAGTACATCTCTTATGCACCGTACAGGACACTACAAACAAAAACATTACTAATTTAGGTGAGTTGGACTTGGGGTTTGGAGCGGGAAGGTCATGAAATGATCCAGTCTTATTGAATACCTGGGCAGAACGCAGTTCAAATACATAGTAGCATACGGGGCATTCTGATGCACAGCCAATCACAGAAGAGCATTTTGTACCACGTGGTACAACTTAAACAATCATATGGCCGGACTAGCTTCCGAGATGGCGATTTGATGAAACGCAATACTTTTCTCTGATTGGTTATGTACCATTAAGCCCTGTCTACTACTGTTCACAAACTAGACAGAATATTTCGAATAAAAGAACGTTAATCAGCCGTTAATTCCTACCTGGCAAAGAACCTGGGAAAGCAGAACCATAGTTGGTGTACAAACAGCGTGTCTGAAGTCTGACGTGGAAAACAACATTGATACAACGCGGAGATAAAGTAACTGAAAAAAAAAATATACATTTGTCCATGATTTCCTCAGTAACTCACAAATTTGAAGGTGAACAAAGGCAAACATAGGCAAGAGAGATTTAATTCAGAGGTGGTTTAAACATTGACTAAGTTAACGTGACTAGGAAGCACCTTACATCTAAAGGGAGGCGTTCAACAGATACTCTAACAAGAGGTCCACCTTCGCTCTGTTTATGAAGCTTGCAAGATTTGCAAAAACTAGCACCAGCAAGCCCAAACGCAGAGAAAAAGCGGTGACCGGTAACCTCTTTTACAATACAACAATGGGTACTGCGGGAACATTGAGATCACCATGACTGCTTTGGTGGCATTTCAGAGCGTTAAATGTTTGTGTTTTGGAGGTCGTGTTTATGGGCAGCATTGTAGATTATTGCCACATTAATGACGAGAGCTCCAAGATTTCTTTAGCACAGAAATTACGAGATGAGTTGGGTAAGAAACAAAACACCTCCTGCCTACTGTGCGTGATGATAAAGCAGTTCTCCTAGAAAAAAAATTAATTACAACGTCGATCTTAACAAAGGTGAATTACTTCGTGAACCACTAGGAATTCAAACCAAGTCATGTAACCTGCGATAGGTGTGTGTTAAAACAAGTAATCTCTTGTCATAGCTCATAACGTGCAAAGAAAGAACCTTTTCGGTGTCATTATCCTCACTTGACCGCGAAGAATTACGTGTCCAATTAGTTCATTCCGAGTTTTGTGTAAAAACCTACCTCAGAAAGACCCAGGAACATCCCTTTTCCACCTGAAGATGATAAAAACAAGGAAACACAGTTAGTGGAGGAATTGCCTGAAAGCAAGCTCGGCCTCATTATAAGCGCTTGCAAGGGCACGAGCGTTTATGCGCTTACGAAAAAGTACGATGCCTTGAGTGACACGTGTCGCCTAGAGGTCTACAAGGGGTCAGACACTGATATTAGTGCCAGATCCCCGACGAACTTCTCCCCGATTCATCTCAAATCTTCCCGCGGGCGTAGAAACGCACGCCATTCGGCGCTATTAATGAGTGTTCGCAGGCAAACAAGGAATGATGAGAAATTCTAAAGAAGAGAAAAAGAGATAAATCGCGAATGAGCACTCTTGCCTTGTCTATCGCAGTTCTGTGAGAATTTCTTGTGTATATCCTGTACAATCTGTTGCATGCACTTGGCGGAGTGGACCGGAGAGTACTGAGCTACATCAAAGAGATGTCTGGAACATGAGATTTAAAAAGAACCATCGCCAAATGATGAGATGAACATGTTTGAGGTGCTTTCCTCTTGTCCCAATTCAGTAACGTTACGTCAGAAATGCAACTACCAGAACTTTAGCGGGAAAAAAAAATGATGTTAGTGCGCCGTGTGAAACTCTGGGAGTGTGGCATAAGAAAAGTTGGAACTACAGGCTGAACTCGAGAGTGTGAACTCTGCGTTGACTCCCAGAGTTACGGGCGACGCAGTAACATCAATTTTTTTATCACCTTCTTTTTGTTTTTTTCTTTGACTTGCACGTCTTGCTAAACCGACAAAAAGGAACTGCTCTTAGACCAGGAACGCTAGCAATGTGTTCCTACTTGAGCATACCGGTGAAGTTTTCGTGTGTCTAATTTAAAATCAAGAACAGTTCCTTTTTTAACTGACGCTCCAGTCAAAGACAAAAAGAGGGAAGAGAAAAATTCGGCTGCACGAAAAAACACCTACCTTGACAGCTCATCGATCATCTTGAGCCCTTCAGAGCCCATCTGGATGAGTTCACCGACATAATCCAACAAAGTGGTAAACAATACCTGAAAAAAAAAAAAAAAAAAGTTACAAAGTATGACAATCATGATAACATGATGACGGTAGAAATTTCGCTTCCTTTTTGGGAAGTTTGAAACCGTTTTTCTTCGGTTCTTAAAGATACTTCTCTGTCCTTGCTTTGACATCCGTAAATAGACTGCTGCTCTTCTCTCCCGCTCAAAATTGACTATATGAACTCTGCGACAAGCCATTTAGTGCACACTGCTTCTAAAACAAGTCACTACCACACATCTGTGGACAAACTGCACCAAAAGGTTGCCCCGTGTACTGTGGACAATCTTTTTGTCTATGACAGAACTTAGTTACTGCAATTTACACTAGTATATATTACTCAACCAAAAGGTTGCCCCGTGTATTGTGGACAATCTTTTTGTCTATGACAGAACTTAGTTACTGCAATTTACACTAGTATATATTAGTGTGACTGATCATGAAGACAAAGATTTAAAAAAAATAAATAAATAAATAAATAAATAAAACCTCTCAGAGTCACACAAGGGGAACTGCTGCTGTAATTTGTCCTATAAAATTACATCGACGAGTCTGTCTCAACCTTTAAAAGTGTAGCAATGACACAAAACTATTTCTTGGTTTTTACCTCCATTTTTGGTTTATTTGCAGGAGTAATCTTGGGATTGTGGCATGCCTTGATTCTGTCAATTATTGTCAACTGTTGTTTAAATGACCTTTGAGATACAAACAAACGAGAAAAGACAGACTTTCCAATTAAAATACATTATCCTTGAAACACCTTTACAATATACATTTTTCTTTTCTAAACTGCCATAAATACTCATAACTTCAAATATATACTGTTCCTCGTGGTATGTATTTTCATTTGAGTAAAAAATACTATCACTTACCAGCCTTTAATGAGTTCTTTGAATTCTGGAAAAGATTTTGGTGCTGGAAATTAAAAGCAAAAAAGTGATCAGTGAGTCAATGGGGTTTCAGTGGCCAGAATTAGTTAACTTAATTTTCAAACACAATCAAGGAGCCTTTTTTTTTTTTTTCAAAAAAAAGATTCCTTTCCAAGACTGGTTTTACAAAAAATGGATAAGTAAGGAAGATGTGGAATTTACCTTTAAAAGTAAATGGTAGTTCTTCTTTTGTTAGCTCAACAACCTCTGCCTCAGTCTTTTCTTTCTGCTTAAAAAAAATCAAAGGTGGTCCAATAAAGAGAAGGAAAGAATTTAGTTGGCATTGGACAACAATGTCTTTAAAATACCTGAGACAAAACATTGTATGTACATGTTTAAGTAACCTCATTTCTAAGCTGGTGGTGGTTAAACAGATTCAGACTCACAAAAGAATAATTGGCAGAGGATAAATTTAGTGATTAGTGTAAAGGTATGGTATAAAATTAATATCAACATAAATTACCACTTTTTCCTGTTGTTGCTGCTGATTTCCTAGTATTTCTGAGTCAGCCTCATCTTCCATAGCATCATTGCTCACTGTAGATCCAATAAGCAAAAAAAATGTTAATGCAAGAAATAGTTTTGTTCACTCAGACATATAGCTTCATCTGCTCTATATGTTATTCTCCCACTATGCATGACGACAAACTCACCCTAACCCTAATATTATGCATGGTTCAATATAAAAATAAAAAATGTGTCACTTTTCTGAACATAAGGTAATTGCTTGGTTACCATCTGATTCAAGGTCAGAACCATTGTCTTCTTGACAGCTTTCACTATCTTGATCCTCTGCCTCCTCCTCATCATCATCATTATTATCATCACCAGCAGCAGAATTGTCCCCTTCCTCTTCTTCCTCTTCCCCTCCATCTACCTCAGATTCTTCATCACTGTTTTCAGCATCACTTCTTATCTGATCCTCCTCTTCATGATCTAAGAGATTGAAGATGCAACAAATGTATTGGCATTATGGATATGAGTCATTAAATTGTATAAACTTGGCTTGGTCCATGAAGAATGATGTACAAAACTACTAAAATCTACAGAAGGCTACTAGCTTTTTCCACACATTGAATCTACCCTGAGTAGGAGACGTTTATTTCCCACGCACGAGATTACTGTGTGATGGATGTCCTCCCCTGGGGTGGGATGGGTGGGTTACAAAGGGTTTAGGTGTCAATTGGGACCAAAGTTCTGTTCCTTTCTCTCCTGCCATTCCCATGGCAAATTAAATTCTAAGAATTCTAAAAATTCTACCCCTCCCCTTCCCTACCCTTCATTTTGACCATCACCCATCCACTTGGTACAAATTCTTTCTCTCCCAAGCCTTTTGCTGCTGTTGAAATCAAAGATGACATCTATACTATTCACCCTGAAAATACTTAGATCACCAAAATTACACCTGCTCTGCAGGCTACATCATTAGATGAGAGGCAGAGGAGAATCTCCCTCCTTTTTCTGCTTCACAGACAGCTTTTTGCTCTGCTGTAACTGGCAGGTTGTGTTTATTGTCTAACATCTGGAACAGGTTATTAAAAGGATGCTGAAAGACGTCCTATTAAATTCAGTGTTTGTGTTTGTGCATGATGTGTTATACAGTGCAACATCAGGTTGTTCTAAAAATTAATAAAGGCTGATAGTTTCTAAAGAAACTGTTTGGGGCTGCGTTGGTGGGGGTAACGAAATAATTTGAATATATGAACAAAGTTGAAATGGTAAATTGGCCACCGTTACGATTATAAAAGGTGACGTTTCGAGTGTTAGCCCTTCGCCGGAGTAAATGATTCGCTCCAACAAAGGTCTAACGCTCGAAACGTCAGCTTTTATAATCATAACGGTGGCCAATTTACCATTTCAACTTTGTTGATATATTCGATTTGTTCTAAAAATTGTTAAGTGAGCTTATTTCTCAGTTCACATCTGAGTCCCAACTGAAGCCAAGCCTGGCAAAAATCGAAGTCACTTCACCTTTGCCTAAGTACCCCAATGACAAATGAAAACTTTCTTTCCTGTTATGCCCACCACTGAATTCCCAAGCTGCATGATGACTGATGAATTAAAACAAAGTTTAGAGAAAGGTAGTTTCTGGTATTGTTTCTAAAAAAAAGATTAGGTTAACTGCGTACAAGTATGTAATTATAGTACTTACCTTCCATATCACTCACTGGTCCATCTTGATAACTAAGCATAACCCTTTCATTGAGAGCAGGTGTGAAACTGACAAGATAATTATTACAAAATTTGATATCAGAGTTGCATTCTAATCTGATTGTGTTACCCTGGAAATGCATAATTATGTGCATGTTTCCTGTGTATGACTTTGGTTGTTAATTGACTAAACTCTCTGTGATAATATGAAAAACCACCAAAAAAAGTCATAATTGCTCACCTGTCACCAAGGTCATCAGCTGATATATGCTTTGGTTTCTCGGCCACAGCAGGTAAACCTCTCATTCTTCGTTGACGCTCAAGCTAAGTCATGATAATTCAATAGAGAGAAATCATGATGGCAACACTTTAAATGACCATTTTGATAACAAAAAAACTTATGGTAACCATTGATTACTATTATTACATTATACCTGCAATCTACTATTATTTGGGAAAAACATGTTCCTTCAACTCTTAACTGTATTTTAATTTGAGAAAATTCCATGAATTTTTTTGTGAAAACCCAGGAAAATCATTTCAAGGCCCATGAATACTACAAAATAAAATTCATGGACTTATTTGAAGCCTTGAATTTTCCATCAGTTAGGGGCATTTTCTTCATGACCCATAAATTTCTTTAAAGTCTACTTTCATGATCCATTAATTCCCCCTGAAAGTCACGAAAATGAATTTCATGACCCCTGAATTTCTTTAAAATCCCACTTTCATGACCTAAGAATTTCTTTAAAGTCTGTTTTCGGGACCCAATCATTAGTTTCCCCAGAAAGTCACCAGAATTATTTTCATGGCACCCCATACATGGCAATCCAACAGCATTTCATGGGCAAACAACACATTTGTTCTAGGAGAACAAAGTAAATAGGTTCTGAACATTCCCTGAAATCCACACATGGGTATATTGAACTTGTGGCCCATGAATTTCATGATAAATTCATAGGCCATTGAAAGTGGTATTAAAGAGTTCAACACCATCACTGATTTATCAATGAGATGAATTTCATAACCCTTGGAACTGACTTGATATGAATTTATTCACTAAAATTTATGTACAACTGGTGAAACAAAATAAATTATCAGAGAATCCAGACTTATGGTCATGTCTTTCATGTGTGTGCGCCTGTATGACAATACTAAGAAATTTCACAGAAAGGTTAGTTCTTCAATGTATGATTGATTCAAAGTGATAGTGTATGTATTACAGTTATGGTATATTGCAAGCATATATATACAGCTATACATTGTAGCATTATAGTCTTTGGTACAAAGAAAGTGAAGACTTTTTCATTCCAAATTCATGGGGTTTCCAAGAAATTTTCACAGTGCTTGCATATTCCTGACAACCCTATGAAAACTAACTGGCAATTAACTTTCATATGCCATGAAAATACCATGTGGAGGTCAACCATGAAAATTCAGAGAAAATTCTTATGATCAATGAATTTTTCATATATTCATAGGATATTCATGGATTATGATTTGCTGGAACCCTTTAAAAACTAGTAAATTTTAATACCATGAATTTTTTTTGACATGAAATCCATGGCTTTTCAGTATCTTTGAAAAGGCCATGAAATGCCATTTTCATGGGTATTTCATGGCATCTAGTTCACCTTACACAATATTTCATGGGTCATGAATATTAAAATTTTCACAGGTTTTTCATGGGATTTTTCATGTCTTTTTCATGGCACTGAGACCATGAAAATGCCACTGATTTAACCATGAAAATCATGTGAAAAATCTGTGAATTTACCATGAATAATTTCACAAGATTTTCATGGGTTTTCATTTCATAGTGTTTCACCCCCTAACAATTGGTCTCCTTCTCCAAACGTTTTTTTTTTTTTTATCACTGAATCCTAAACTACTGTAACAGTTCATAGTTAAAAAACCTAATATCATCCTCAACTAATATAATTATTCCATGTGATATATAACTATGTGTACCTCTAATTTTTCCAGTCGTTTCTGCTCTTCTTTGGCAATCTCTTGTTCAGACTTCAGTCTGTCAGTGGCCTTAAAAATGCAAATTCTCTTAGTTTGTAAGTGCCACGAGGACTGTATAGAGAACAACATGGAGAATACGCATACTGATGTTACAGCATAAAGAGTTGAGGCATCATGTTCTTTGGTACTTACTTTCCCTTTAATTTCAAAAGCCAACTGTCTGACAGCAATGTCATAATCATCTACTTTGGAAACAGCCTCTTCAGTGTTTGGTGCCTACAATATAAATAAAACAGTCAACTGAAAGTTTGTTTGTGAAAGTCTCCTGTGCTGCAAAACAGTCATCACTCACCTTATTGTGTTTTTTATGCCTATTTCAACATAACAGAATTGTTCTTAAAGGCATGGTTGAGAGAACACAAAATAGAATTGAGATTCTCAATTGTTTCCTAGTAAGCCTGATTTCAGAGCCACATTCCAGTATATTGAAGGTAATCCTATTGACCACTGTTTTACTAAAATAGTAAAAGCAACAAGGTTTTAAACTTAATTTCACCTTTAGTGAAATCAGATTCCTCTTGTTCTTCCAATCCTGATCCAGCTTGTCTGTTAAGGTGACTGTCTCTTCTTTGGCCATTTGCCGCTCATGCTGACAGAAAAAAAAAAAAGCAGTAAAATTTTTATAATGAAAAGACAAAATCTGATTGTGAATTCTCCCCTCTAGCCATTACACATCTCCTTGTAAATTAGTTAGGAGAATTTGATATTTAATATTTCATTTTCTCTTTAACTGTTTGCTGAATAATGTACGAACATCATAGGGAGAAGTTTAATTGTCAATCACTTCTGGACATTCAAGGGTTAAAGAAGAATAAAATTAATGTTAAATATTTGGATTTCAGGGTACTGATCTCATTTATTTTAAATTCAGTACAACGCAACATCATTTCTTTTCAACTAGAAAAAAGAAGTAGGTATGTAGGTTTTATCTTAACATGACTTATTCACCTTTTTGATCTTTGCTTTGGCGACCACTTCCTCCATGATCTCTTTCTTGCTTTTGTGTTTTCCTGAAATCTAAATTGCATTCAATTTGTTTACTACTAAAACAATGCCATTCTTCCTTGCATTAATTATTTTTTTCTCAGCAGAATATACATATGCATATAGAAACTTACATTTACCGGTACACATGGAAATAAAACGGAAATGTTTAGTGCATTATTTAACGAACAAATGAAGGTATTTCATTAACCTCTATCCATGCATTGTTGTCTCCTTCAGAGTAACACAATCATGAATTGACCCTTAAAATCACAAAAAATTATTAACATCCAATTTCTCCTAATAATTTCTGGACACTATTTCCTATACTGAAGATAATAATACAAAATATCAGTTAGAGGGTGCTTTCTAGTTGATATAATACCAAATTCTTATCTAATCTCTACAGGGAAATCTATGACAGGTAGTAGGGAGAATTACTAATCATATCAAGACAGTAGAAAGGTAGGAAAAAATGTTACAGTACGGATGCTATTACCTGCTCATCATCTGTTCTTTTCTTTGTGAGAAAACCACCAAAATGCAACTCTCTAACATCATCAGCTGCAAACACAGTTAACAGACCCCTCTTTTTAACAACTTAAATTACCAATACATCATACGTGTAGGTATTAACTACTCCAAATACATGATACCAATGGTTTTTGCTGATAATATCATCCTTTTAATAGATAACATTTAATTGCCAAGTTAACAGACTCCTCTTTTTAACAACTTAAATTACCAATACATCATACGTGTAGGTCTTAACTACTCCAAATACATGATACCAATGGTTTTTGCTGATAATATCATCCTTTTAATAGATAACATTTAATTGCCAAGTTAACAGACTCCTCTTTTTAACAACTTAAATTACCAATACATCATACGTGTAGGTATTAACTACTCCAAATACATGATACCAATGGTTTTTGCTGATAATGTCATCCTTTGAAGGGTTAATAGATAACATTTAATTGTTACACCCTTACAACAGTATTACCTATACTTTTCTCTATACATTTCTTTTTGTGCAATTCAAGGGTGACAATGCAAGGAGAAATTAGATGCCAGGCACTCTTAGAGGTCTAGACTAAAGTTAAAAGGAGAAGGTCAACTGGCAAAGGAAGTAAGTGGTAATGTCCAGACATGCCATCACACTTACTGTTTGCAAACATGTAAAAAGGAGAAGGTCAACTGGCAAAGGAAGTAAGTGGTAATGTCCAGACATGCCATCACACTTACTGTTTGCAAACATGTTAAAAGGAGAAGGTCAACTGGCAAA